TTTTTTTTTTTTTTTGTAATTGTTGACTGGACACTATGTTTAATGGAGTAGAGATGAGCACATTGCTACAAATACAGCTTTGGAACATAGAGATTATCATGCAGTTAGTATAATTTGGTGTATATGCTAATGTAATGATTAGAAGATTATTTCAGTGAACTATTTTGCTTTTGCATTCTAGATAAAGTGAAAATAATCAATGGGGATGTATATAGCACCCAGCATAAGAATAACAGCAACATAATTTCTAGTTATGTGGTGATCAAGATTTATTAAGTCTGTGTTGCTGTATGGCCTCTGTTCAGTAATCTCAAATCTATTTTTAAGCCTAAAATTCCCACTTTAATCCAAAGCAAAAAATGGTTATACTGAAGCATAGACCTTGCGTATATAATTTAAAGAATTAATAGAGCTGTGTAAACCCTGTTATATTATTTTTGTAAAAAAAAAAAAGTGTGTACATATATATGTATATATGCACATATATATGTATATATGTACATATGAAGTAGGGGAGGCCCTGGTTGGTTACCTCCCAGCCTTCACAGTGCTTTTCTCTGAGATGCTTTACTTGATTGCTGTTGGTAAACCATACCAATGCAGGCCTGAGGACTGAGCACTGTACCAGGTAGAAAATGTATCTTTCAAGGACAGGGTTTGTCTGCTTCCCATTGAGGAAGTTAATAGTAAAGAAACATTTTTCAAAGAGGTTGGACTTCAAAATGGCATTGTGAGTCTAATAAAAAGGAAAGTCTTGCTTTCTTTGGCCACTTTTCTTTTCTCTCCTCTGGTGAGCACTTTATTCTTATTTCAGTTAGTTTTATCCTGTCTCATGTCTCCCTAAATATTTGCAGCCTGTGGAGTCTTGTAGGGGTCTTAAGAACATGCTTTGTACCTTCTTTTTTATTGGCAGTTACCCCAGTTTACTTTCATTATAGTTATGAGTAGGGGAGGGGCAGAGAGAGGGTGACACAGAATCCAAAGCAGGCTGCAGGTTCCGAGCTGTCAGCACAGAGCCCAACGCGGGGCTCAAACTCATGAACCGCGAGATCATGACCTGAGCCAAAGTCAGATGCTTAACCGAATGAGCCACCCAGGTGCCCCTTGGGTTTGTTTCTTGATTGAGAGGGAAGCCATTGGAGAATATTGAACAGGGGAGTGTCATGATCTTACGTTTACAGAATTTGAGTTGTGGCTGCAGTGTGGACAATACACTGATGAGCAGGGGTACAAGTATGGTGTATATTTTGAAAACAATGCACAGAATTGGCTGATGGAATCCATGAAGGTATGAGTAAGTCAAGGATGACTCAAGGTTTGGGACCTGAGTAACAGTAAGTGATGCTGTTATTTGTTGAAATGAAGAAGACAGAGGGAAGAGCATTTTGGGGGGTGATATAAGATCCTGAGTTACATTGTATTAATTTTGAGGTAGCATTTAGATACCTGTGGTGTAGCGAGCCTTTAAGGTGGCCCCCACTGATCCCTGTCTCCTGGTATTCACACCCCTGTGGTAGTCCCAGCCTCCATATTTTGACCAATGAACATGGAGAAAGCATTGGTATGGCACTTCCAAGATTAGGTTATAAAGGATGTTGTAGCTTCCGTTTTGGCTGCATGTTCTCGTGTGTCTCTCTGTCCCTCTTGTCACTTGCTGTGGGTGAAGTCAACTTCCATGCCACAAACAACCCTAAGGAGAGGCCCACATGGTGAGGAAGTGAGGACACCTGCTGATGGCCACATGAGTGAGCTTGCAAGTGGATTCTCCTCGGTCTCAGAAGTCCGTGGCCTCTTGAGGAACCAAGAGCCAGATGTACCCAGCTCACTGTGCGTGGATTACAGACCCTCAGAAACGGTGTGCAATAATGTTTTTATTTTAAACTCAGTTTCAGGGACAGTTTGTTTCACAGAAAAAATTACAGAATACCCAAGTGATTATGTAAATTTGGGGTTTAAGGATGAGGTTAGAGCTTGTGCAGTAAATCGAGGTCAGACAGTATGAGAGCCCTGAGGGGTGGTGAGTACAGTGAAAAGAGAAGGTCTGGGGACTGAACCCGAGATCC